CGTCTTCAAACTCTTTCCAACTAAGAGGTATGATATTGTGTCTACTAAAGTCATGCAATGAGTTTAATATTATTTTCCTCTTTGTTAGCTATCGGCTCTACATTCTAATACTGACATTCATATGCTATGCATCGTATCACATGTCAAGAAAACCGTTCAGTGTTGTATCAGTACGTAAATGAGCAGTCAGTGTTTGTACATCAGTATATGCATTTTTTCTGTTTTTTTTACAGAGTGTTCTAGCTCCAGGATGCAAGCACCATCACAGTGGAGGAGGAGGAGGAGAGAATGAAAGTGACTTTGAAGACTTTCTATTTTTGAGCAACAATAGCAATGCCGGTAACGAATCATGTGAATACATTGATGGATGGCCACCATTTAGTGAGCATGTCTAAATTAATGATCATGATCACTGTGTTATTGCATAGATGGCAGCTATTGTAAAACTGTTATTGGAGCTGTAGATTATGCTTGGTTATTCACTTATGCTATTTTCATGATTGCAAGGTATAAATAAATACATCAATACAATAATTATCTTTTATATTTTAGTGGGTTTATAGCTGATCGTGTCAATTTACGCTATTTTCTAACTGCTGGAATGATGGGTATTATACACAGCAGCTGTGTCCTTTCTATAATGGAGATTGTTTTTCTTTTTAGGATGTGGTATTCTTGTAGGTCTACTAGGTGTCTCCTACTTTGCTGGGATTCATTTTCTTTCTTTTTTCATCATTGTACAAGTTTTTGTTGGAATGTTTGAGGTAAAAATCACGATATACAACTTTTGCAAATTTTGTTTCCAGTCTACAGGTTGGCCAGCTACAGTAGCAGTAATGGGTAATTGGTTTGGTAAGAAGAACCGTGGTTTATTAATGGGTGTATGGAATGCTCACACATCAGTTGGTAATATACTGGGAACTGCAGTTCCTTCTATATGGGCAAAGCCTTGTCATGAATGGTTAGTCTCATTTAACTAGCTAGACATGCAGGAAATATTATGTATGTAATTCTAATTATTTTATAAAGGGGATGGTCTTTTCTGGTTCCAGCATTTGTGATGATTTTTGTTGGATTACTGATGTTCTTCTTCCTAGTTCTTGGTATGTTAGTTTGAAAGGACTTAGTCTACTATTTATAAAAAAATTCCATTTATAGATCCCAAGGATGTTGGCTTACCACCTCCTAAACATCACCAGGTATAAATAATACTTCACTGATATAATATGTTAATGTCTTTATTTTGCAGGCCAGGGAAGAACCTACAATTGAGCCTTTGAATGATCCCAAAATAAATGAAATAAAAGTATGAAAAAACAAAAAAATTTTTTTAATGATTTTGTTGATTTTTTAGGACGAATCTGAGTTATCTGATGAAGAGCGTCGTCCTCTTTTAGGTTCTATCCAAGTATAATATTATAAGTTATGTTTTGTTATTTTGTATTATGCATCATTATTTAGGATGGTGGCAAAAAGCCAAAGGCAATCAGTTTATGGAGAGCTGCACTTATTCCTGTATGTAAAATTGATTAGTTTTGCTGATGATTCTGATTATTCTTACAGGGTGTGATAGAGTTTGCCTTATCTCTGTTCTTTGCAAAAATGGTTGCTTACACTTTCCTCTTTTGGCTACCATACTATGTCAGATATCACAGTAAGAAATTGCATTTTTGAGCATTTTTAAAAAGAATTTTTTAGCTATTGGTGGACGCTACGTTGGAGATCAGAAAGCTGATTTGCTAGCAACCCTTTATGATGTTGGAGGGATTGTTGGTAATAATTGTGATTATTAAAATAGTACAATTACAATACTTGCTTCATTTATAGGAGGTATAACTACTGGTGCTCTTTCTGATGTCATCAATGCAAGAGCTGTATCATGTGTCATAATGATGTACCTTGCTGTACCAACTGTAAGATTAATGCTATTGTATCATCATAAATGACTAATGGTCATTTTTAGCTGTTTGCCTATCGCTTTGCTGGTGGCATATCACTGGGGACTTCCATTGGTTTGTCCTATAAATTTTGTATGCATAATTGTACTGGATTATTCCTTTTAACAGCTCTAATTTTATTTTGTGGTCTATTCATCAATGGTCCTTATGCTCTCATCACAACTGCTGTCTCTGGAGATCTTGTATGCCACTTTTGAAATTTCTCTCATTGTTTATAACTGGTATTTGTAGGGCACACATAAATCACTGAAAGACAATCAGAAAGCTAAAGCAACAGTAACTGCCATCATTGATGGCACTGGATCCCTGGGAGCTGCTCTTGGGCCACTAGTAACTGGTTTTATATCAGACCAGTTTGTAAGTCATCATAAATCTTGATTTTGGAATTGATGGATATGTCCTTATAGGGATGGGATAGTGCCTTCTATGTTCTAATGGGCTCATGTTTCATTTCTTCACTTGTAAGTATGAATGAGACCTCCTATAGATAGCATTATCAAATACATAATGTATTCCTATAGATGTTAACTAGACTGGTCATAAGTGAAGCAAAGTATTTCTATTGGAAATTTTATTCAAAGAGTCAAAAAATAAGGTAGATATATATGTTATAATTATTACAAGCAATAGTCACCAGCTAGTCTAAATGTTTGAATTTAGGTCATTTCATGAAAGTGTGAGGAAGATCTTAGGACCTGTTCTACCGCTGTTTGAAAAGTGCTGCAATCAGTGCTGCTGATTCAATAAAGCTTAACATTACTTTAGCTGCTGCTGATTCGATAAAGCTTAACATTACTTTAGCTATAAGACTTATTATTTGGGCGGGCCTGAATAAAAAAAAACTCTATTTTCTGTGTGCTATTTTTTACCTCGTTTTTGACATAGTGAATAGTTTTAACATAGATAATATTATCTATGGTTTTAATAAACCATTTTAACTGCCACGCCCTTCAGGTTTGCAGAGATAGTAGAATGGACAAGAAAGATGAAGTGGACAACAGCAGTCCAGTAACTGGGTCTTGCTTTGAAGGAAAACGCCATCATAAGGTGCAATGGAAGAAGGTACCTTTGGGTGCTTGGATCTTAAGTTATTTAGGAGTCTTTAATATCTTACCAGCTAAAAAGTAAGCCATGTCGAGAGCTTGTACTAATTTTACATTACAGTCAATGATAAAAGTCAACCACTGGTCAACCATACCATGAGCCTTCTATGACATCACTTTTAGCCACACCCCTTGACAGGATGTAAAATGTAGTGATGGGCGATATGGCCAATTTTCTTAATTTTTGATAACGATCGATAATGGATTTTTTGAGGAAATATCGATTATTAACGATACGATAACCACACCTTCATTTAGGGGTGTGGCTAATGATTTTGGCACTGTACTGGACATGAGAGAAGATCATTTCCATGCTCTTGAGCCTTGTTTCTCTTCTTATTGGGGTAGGCTGAGCTAGCAACTGGTCAGTTGCCTCTTTCTTGCAGTTCAACAGTGCAATTACTTATTAAAATTAGTTATTTAACCTTAATAAATGGGCGTGGTCAATAGATCGATGAAAATTTGCATAAAATTTTCGATAATGATTCAAATCGATTCCGTAAAATATCGTTTATATCGATAAAAAATCGATATATCGCCCATCACTAGTAAAATGACAGGAAGCAAAATGAGCACTTAGAAAGCTCATATCTCTTTGAATAATTTTTTCAGACAATAAAACTTTGCATATAGCATTTTTATGATCATATAATCATGTTAGTCCAATTAAAAAATACCCCAAAAATCATGTCAGTTACACTTTAATGTCATAGACCCTTTAGTTTTTAAGGTAAGGGTACAAAACAAACCTTTCAAACTTAACAGTAAATTGATCATTACTGAAAGACGAAATCAATTTTTAAATGAAACAAAGTGGATGTCCTCCACCTAATGATGCTCTATTGAATGATTGAATTAGTTGTTATCATTAATTTTGTTTGTAAAGGCCTGGGTGATAGTATTAATAGTTGCACTCGTGATAGTGCACAGCTATCTTGATAGTGATACTGTTATTCTAACTATCAAGATAGTTATCATGTGTTAAATTATCTAGTATAATGTGATTTTAAATTATTAATAAATACATTAGTGAAGTACAATGACTACATCCTTAAATAAATCATTGTATTTTCACATGTAAAACCTATGGCTAAACTATTGTGATATGTTCACTGTCGTGATCATATTAGAGTTACAAAATATCGTGACAGTGATATTACTACTATCACCCAGGTTTAGTAGAAAGGTACCTTGTACTTTCTGATTATTGTTTTATTTTATCTAGTCTTGGGATGATGTTTTCTACCTTTTGATGGCATCTTCTTTTGTATCTGCATTGGTAAGTAAAGAGCTTGTCACCACTGTGTACCAGCAAAAAGTATTTTGTTCTAAGCTTTTATTTCTCTTATTCCTCTTAGTTGCTCACCAGACTAGTCATTAAAGAAATTATAGAATTATATAGAAGATTTTAACGATAAATTCAACAATGTTTTTAACTCAAATAATGCACACACTTTTAATACTGTTTGTCCATGCTCTAAATGTCTGTGTTGTCCTCTCTTCCCTCTTCTTTTACTACTCCCTCTTAATTTAATATTCTTGTGTCTGTGTGTTTATTTATTTCCTCCTGGGTGTCAAGACAACTGTTCCTGACAACCCTTCAGGCCTTTCTTCCTCTCTCCTCTGCCCTTCTCCTGTCTGCTTTTGTCTACTCTGCTGTATAAGTCCTGTAAAATTCTAATAATAATAATAATAATAATAATAATGCTATCTACATGTATGTGTTACATTCTCTATTGTTGCTTTATAATAATAATAATAATATTGTCGTTATTATGCATGTCTTAGGTATTGTTCTACAGGTATGACATTTTATCCTCCTCACCCTCAGTCATTATATTTGTATCTGTGTGTTTTTAGATTAATGGAAGACTGAGATTTATCATTTCAACTTTTACTATTACTTTATAACAATTATGATACCTTTAATGCAGTGAATGCACATGTTTTAAGCATGCGGGCGCAACGCGCGCATGCCCTTCAGCCCTTGCGCTAGGCTGGACGTACGCCGCAGCAACTTACCTTATCTTAACGTCCTGAAGATTTCTTCAGTGGAGCTGCTTGCAAGTGCAACCATAGATACAATGGACAAAGACGAAAAAAGCACTCTCTCCGACGGGCCATCGAAGAAAGATCAGCATCCTAAAGGGAAATTAAACACTGTGCCTTTAGGAGCTCGGCTTTTAAGCTATTGTGGCATCTTCAAAATCTTTCCAACTAAGAGGTAGCTATAATACACAGCTGCACGAGTCTTTAGGGCATCATGCAATGATATTATTTTCCTTTTTGTTAGCTATCGGCTCTACATTCTAATACTGACATTCATATGCTATGCATCATATCACATGTCAAGGAAACCTTTCAGTGTTGTATCAGTACGTAATTGAGTAGTCAGTATACTAGTATAATGTTTTTATTTCTGTTTTTTTACAGAATGTTCTAGCTCCAGGATGCAAGCACCATCACAGTGGAGGAGGAGGAGGAGAGAATAAAAGTCACTTTGAAGACTTTCTTTTTCTGGGCGGCAACAATAGTGTTTCCAGTAACGAATCATGTGAATACATTGATGGATGGCCACCATTTAGTGAGCATGTCTAAATTAATGATCATAATTATGATCACTGCATGTGTTATTACATAGATGGTAGCTATTGCAAGACTGTTATTGGAGCTGTAGATTATGCTTGGTTATTCCCTTATGCTATTTTCATGATTGCAAGGTATAAATAAAATATATCAATACAATAATTATCTTTTATATTTCAGTGGGTTTATAGCTGATCGTGTCAATTTACGCTATTTTCTAACTGCTGGAATGATGGGTATTATACACAGCAGCTGTGTCCTTTCTATAATGGAGATTGTTTTTCTTTTTAGGGTGTGGTATTCTTGTAGGTCTACTAGGCGTCTCCTACTTTGCTGGGATTCATTTTCTTCCTTTTTTCATCATTGTACAAGTTTTTGTTGGAATTTTTGAGGTAAAAATTTGCGAATTATTATGTACAACTTTTAAACCTTTCATTTCCAGTCTACAGGTTGGCCAGCTATAGTAGCAGTAATGGGTAACTGGTTTGGTAAGAAGAACCGTGGCTTGTTAATGGGTATATGGAATGCCCACACATCAGTTGGTAATATGCTGGGAAATACAGTTCCTTCAATATGGGCAAAGCCTTGTCATGATTGGTTAGTCTCATTTAACTAGCAGTGCATGCAAGAACGTAACTATAATTATTTTATAAAGGGGATGGTCTTTTCTGGTTCCAGCATTTGTAATGATTTTTGTTGGATTATTGATGTTCTTCTTCCTAGTTCTTGGTATGTTAGTATGAATGGACCCTATTACTTATTAAAATTACATTTATAGATCCCAAGGATGTTGGCTTACCACCTCCTGAACATCACCAGGTAAATTATACCAAGAATTATTATCTACTCTTGATAATACTTTACTGGTATTTTAATGTCTTTATTTTGCAGGCCAGGGAAGAACCTACAGTTAAGCCTTTGAATGATCCCAAAACAAGTGAAGGAAAAGTATGAAAAAATGATAAAATATTAAAAATGATTTTATTGCTTTTTTAGGAGGAATCTAAATCGTCTGATGAAGAGCATCGTCCTCTTTTAGGTTCTATCCAAGTATAGCATTAATTTATGTTTCTATTATTTTGTACTGTGTATTATTTTAGAATGGTGGCAAGCCAAAAGCAATCAGTTTATGGAGAGCTGCACTTATTCCTGTATGTGAAATTGATTAGTTTTGCTGATGATTCTGATTATTCTTACAGGGTGTGATAGAGTTTGCCTTATCTCTGTTCTTTGCAAAAATGGTTGCTTACACTTTCCTCTTTTGGCTACCATACTATGTCAGATATCACAGTAAGAAATTGCATTTTTGAGCATTTTTAAAAAGAATATTTTTAGCCATTGGTGGACGCTACATTGGAGATCAGAAAGCTGATTTACTATCAAATCTTTATGATGTTGGAGGGATTGTTGGTAAGTCATTGCAATAACACAATTATAATACTTGATTCATTTATAGGAGGTATAGCTACTGGTGCTCTTTCTGATGTCATCAATGCAAGAGCTGTATCATGTGTCATAATGATGTACCTTGCTGTACCAACTGTAAGATTAATACTATATTGTATCATGAATGACTAATGATCATTTTTAGCTGTTTGCCTATCGCTTTGCTGGTGGCATATCACTTGGGACTACCATTGGTTTGTTCTATTAAATTTTGTATACGTAATTGTACTGGATTATTCCTTTAACAGCTCTAATTCTATTTTGTGGTCTATTCATCAATGGTCCTTATGCTCTTATCACAACTGCTGTCTCTGGAGATCTTGTATGTTACTTTTGAAATTTCCTCTCATTGTTTATAAACTGATATTTGTAGGGCACACATAAGTCACTGAAAGACAATCAGAAAGCTAAAGCAACAGTAACTGCCATCATTGATGGCACTGGATCCCTGGGAGCTGCTCTTGGGCCACTAGTAACTGGTTTTATATCAGACCAGTTTGTAAGTCATCATAAATCTTGATTTTGGAATTGATGGATATGTCCTTATAGGGATGGGATAGTGCCTTCTATGTTCTAATGGGCTCATGTTTCATTTCTTCACTTGTAAGTATGAATGAGACCTCCTATAGATAGCATTATCAAATACATAATGTATTCCTATAGATGTTAACTAGACTGGTCATAAGTGAAGCAAAGTATTTCTATTGGAAATTTTATTCAAAGAGTCAAAAAATAAGGTAGATATATATGTTATAATTATTACAAGCAATAGTCACCAGCTAGTCTACATGTTTGAATTTAGGTCATTTCATGCAAGTGCAAGGAAGATCTTAGGACCTGTTCTACCGCTGTGTGAAAAGTGCTGCTGATTCGATAAAGCTAACATTACTTTAGCTATAAGACTTATTAGTTAGGCGTGCCTGAATAAAAAAAAAACTCTATTTTTTTGGTAGCATCATTTATAAGCTGCATTATATAGGCTGTGTGGATCTATTTTTGACCTCGTTTTTGACATAGTGAATAGTTTTAACATAGATAATATTATCTATGGTTTTAATAAACCATTTTAACTGCCACGCCCTTCAGGTTTGCAGAGATAGTAGAATGGACAAGAAAGATGAAATCGAGGATGAAGTGGACAACAGCAGTCCAGTAACTGGGTCTTGCTTTGAAGGAAAACGCCGTCATAAAGTGCAATGGAAGGAGGTACCTTTGGGTGCTTGGATTTTAAGTTATTTAGGAGTCTTTAATATCTTACCAGCTAAAAAGTAAGCCATGTCGAGAGCTTGTTCACATTTAGCTGGTTTCTCTTCTTCGCCCACCCACAGTTACAGGCTCTACATTCTAATACTGACATTCATATGCTATGCATCGTATCACATGTCAAGAAAACCTTTCAGTGTTGTTGCAGTAAGTGAATGAATGAAGTGATAGCACACACTATCAGCATGCTATCCACATGGAAGGCACACTCTACTATTATAATATATATACTTGCTAATGTGATGAGCATGTGACAATCATGGCATGTCAGAATGCTTTTTATTGTTTATATAGTGTGTCATATTTCTCTGGCTACAGTGTTTTGTTTTAAATGAATAGAATGTCTTAGCTCCAAACTGCAACGATATATTTGAAGAGTTGAATGAGAGCAGCTTAGAATATGAATATGATTGTAACTTTAATGAAGGATGGGCACCATTTAGTAAGAGATGGAGAGAGAGAGAGAGAGAGATGTATGTATGACATATCAACCTTTACCTGATAGATGGCAGCTATTGTAAAACTGTTATTGGAGCTGTAGATTATGCTTGGTTGTTCACTTATGCTGTCTTCATGATTGCAAGGTGATTATTATTAATTTGCTATTTATAAGAGCTTTATTTTAGTGGACTTATAGCTGATCGTGTTAATCTTAGATATTTCTTAACAGTTGGAATGATAGGTATATTGTCTATGGTATAAGTACATGAGTTGTACCTTCTTGCCAGTAGATTGTTCAAAATTAGATTTATTATAATTTTTTTGTAAAAATTTTCAAAAATGGCTAGGAGAGAATTCTGCTCAAAAAAAGTTGTTAGCTGCTCAAGAATCAAATCGAAGACCATGTAAAGGTCAAAAATGGCTGGAAAAGGATTTCAATTTTTATAATTTTTCCTGATACATATACATGCTCTTATGTTGTGTAGCAAGTTTGAGCTGATTCCAATTAAAATTAATTTTTGTATGAATTTTTAATGTTACTCAAAAATTAGACCAAAGTCCCTGTACTATAGTACAGGGTCTTTGGCCAAATTTTGTCAAAAATGGTTAGGAGAGAATTTTCCATTTTTATAATTTTTTCTGATACTAATACATGTCCTTATGGTGTATATCAGCTTTGAGCTTATTCCGATCAAATTTGATTTTTTATGAATTTTTAAATTTGCTCAAAAATGCCATGTACTGTACGTGTATGTCAGCTCATGAAGCATCACTTAGCATGCTTTGTGGGAGACCCTGTATCCCGCTGTCTCTCTGTGCTCATAGGTAGTGGGGTCTTTGTTGGAATGTTGGGTGTGGCTTACTTTGCTGATATTCATCATCTTGCCTATTATATTGTTATACAAATTTTTGTTGGAGTTTTTGAGGTAACCAGCAGTCATCAAGCATCTAAATATATCTAATACATTTCCAGTCGACAGGTTGGCCTGGTGTAGTAGCAGTAATGGGTAATTGGTTTGGTAAGAAGAACCGTGGTTTATTAATGGGTGTATGGAACTCTCACACATCAGTTGGTAATATATTGGGAACTGCAGTTCCTTCATTATTTGCAAAGAAATGCGACCCATGGTTAGTCATTACTGCAGTAGTTTCTTTTTGTCATTATTTATTTGTGTAGGGGATGGGCTTTTTTGATTCCAGGATTTGTGATGATTTTTGTTGGCTGTGTAATATTCTTTTTCCTGGTCTTAGGTTAGTCAATCTATTCCGGTTTATAAGTAAAACAGAGCATAATTACTGTTATTTTTGAAAAAAATACTGTCAATATTTGCTATACATTTACTGCTATGCAAAATACTGTAAAATTAAGTATTGAACAATTTTTATTTTTTCAGATCCTGATGATGTTGGTTTGCCTTCTCCTCAGCACCATGAGGTAATGAATTAATGTGTGCCTGTTCTATTAATAGCATTGTATTCCAGGTTAGAGAGCCTCGACCACAAAAAAATGGAATGTCATACAAGAAAGAAAGTGACCTAACAGCAGACACTAATATAAGGACATCAGGAAAATTGTCTATAGAAGTAAATGCCTTTTTCATTCTGTATTATTATTATTATTATTGTTAAGAATGATACTAACGAAAATTCACCACTTATAGATAAATCTCCTGATACTGAAAAGGTATACCTGTTTGTCTTATTATTCCTGTTATTATTCTCATTTTAGTCTAAAGGTAAAGCTGTTGGCTTACTGAGAGCATTGACAGTTCCTGTATGCCTAATGCATGCATGCTTTTACATTGGTGTATTGTGTATTACTGTAGGGAGTGGTAGAGTTTGCTGTGTCACTTTTCTTTGCAAAGATGGTTGCTTATACCTTCCTGTTCTGGCTCCCTTACTATGTAGCATACAATCGTAAGTATATATTTTAATTCTGTCATCAGTAGCTCATTTATTTGTTAGGCATTGGTGGGCGGTATATTGGTGAACAGAAAGCCGATCTACTGGCTACTCTTTATGATATAGGAGGAATAATTGGTCAGTATGATTATAATGAAAATTATAATACTCGTTTCCCTATCTTGTTTATAGGAGGTATAACTACTGGTGCTCTTTCTGATGTCATCAATGCAAGAGCTATATCATGTGTCATAATGCTCTATTGTGCTGTACCAACAGTCAGTCATTATTAAATTAATGATGCGTGCCTAAAAAGTATTTTTACAGTTGTTCATGTATCGATATTTTGGCGTTAAATCAGTTGGAGCATCAATAGGTCAGTCAGTCATTCATAGTGAGTAGTTTATCTCAGTTTTCTTTCCAGCGTTAATCATATTTTGTGGTCTGTTCATCAATGGTCCTTATGCTCTCATCACAACTGCTGTATCTAGTGATCTTGTATGCTCCTATTGATCCATAAGGTTTATTTTTAACTGTGATACACAGGGCACACATGAATCACTGAGAGAGAATCAGAAAGCTAAAGCAACAGTGACTGCCATCATTGATGGTATGGGATCACTAGGAGCTGCTTTTGGACCACTAGTAACTGGATTTGTATCTGATTACTTTGTATGTTAAATATAAATTACACCCTCTTACTGGTAATCCTTACCCATAGGGCTGGGACAGTGCATTTTATGTTCTAATGGGCTCGTGCTTCATTTCATCATTGGTAAATATTATACTGCTGGTATTAATCAAGTATTAATTTATATTAGATGCTGAGCAGATTAGTTGTAGGCGAAGCAAGATATTTCTATAGAAAGTTTAAAACTCAGACAAAGTATAATTATAGTTCATATTGCTTGATGTGTATTCATCCTTTTTATGCAGGAATCAGGTGTATGCTCCTAGAATAGCAAGCAAGGAGTCAACTATGATGTGAAAGATGTTTTTTAATGTATTTGCACTGACAATTATTTTTATAAAATTATTTATATTATTTATTATGTTATGTATTAATTAACAACTGAGAAGCCACACCTTTTTACAACTGGAGAGCTAAGAGATGCAATTGAGTGATCATGAGTGATGATTCATCTGTTGTGCTGTGTGAGAGAGGACGCCATCGTAAAGTGAAATGGAAGAAAGTACCTTTGGGTGCCTGGATATTGAGCTATCTCGGGATATTTAATATCTTACCAGCAAAAAGGTAATATTTTACAGCAATAGATGATCTGCTGATATTTTTATGCACACCCACCCACAGTTACAGGCTCTACATTCTAATACTGACATTCATATGCTATGCATCATATCACATGTCAAGAAAACCTTTTAGTGTTGTTGCAGTAAGTGAATGATATCCAATGAATTTGTCATAGGCAAGAGTGAGACGAAATGAAAGGGGGCCAGGCCTCTCCCAATGAATAAGATTTCCTTGTCAATGAACAATGTGTCTACTATTAATGTAATGGAAGTGTGAATCGTTTGCAGCCTGTCTAATGCGACTGCAGGAAATGAAAATGTTTTATTAGCTCTAGCATGACTACATACTGATGTCTATTTTTATTATATAGAGTGTCCTCGCTCCTAATTGTAATACTGTACTAGATCAAGAGAACAGCAATAGCAGTAGTAAAGTGTTATATGACCTTTACAGTAACCCTGATGATCCCGAGTGTCACTTTGCTGAAGGCTGGCCACCATTCAGTAAGTAAATATATAGACTCGGTTTTCATCGACTTATTATTAAAAGATGGTAGTTACTGCAAGACTATCATTGGTGCCATAGACTATGCTTGGCTTTTCACTTATGCTACTTTTATGATTGGAAGGTATATATGGAGGTTTTATGATACTAATGCATGCTTTATTGTTTTATAGTGGTTTTATTGCTGATCGAGTCAACTTAAGATATTTCCTAACAATTGGGATGACAGGTATAATGTGTATGTAACAATAATGGTTTCATTTATAGACAGGTAGTGGTCTTTTTGTTGGATTATTGGGTATAGCTTACTTTGCTGATATCCATAATTTGACATATTATGTCATTACACAGATTTTTGTTGGCATTTTTGAGGTAAAATTATAATTTTGTTTTTCTCACAAGTTGAGCTAAAAACATGTTTCATAGGTGCCTTATAGCATATTGAGCAACTTTTAAAATTCATAAAAATCCAATTTTGATTGTAGTCAGCTTAAACTTTCTACACAATATAAGGACATGTATAGTGTCAGAAAAAACAAAAAAGAGAGTTCTCTCTTTTCAATTTTTGGCAAAATTTGGGCTGAGACAGTGTACTATGAGCTCTACGCCAAAATCCTGTTAAAACTCTGATTATTCTTTTTTTTATTTTCCAGTCGACAGGTTGGCCAGCTACAGTAGCAGTAATGGGTAATTGGTTTGGTAAGAAGAACCGTGGTTTATTAATGGGTATATGGAACTCCCATGCATCAGTTGGTAATATACTGGGAACTGCAGTTCCTTCAATATGGGGAAAGAAATGTGACCCATGGTAGATGACCATTCTCAGTATTACATAGTTTACCATCTTTATAGGGGATGGGCCTTCCTCGTTCCAGCATTTGTGATGATTGGTGCAGGATTGCTAATGTTCTTCTTCCTAGTTCTTGGTTAGTACCATTATACTTTGTACTATATTTTTATTTGACACTTAATTTAGATCCTCGTGATGTTGGCTTACCACCTCCACAGCACCATGATGAGGTATTATGAAGATATTTTTTGTGACTTTTTTAATGTAAATGTTAGCCTATGGAACATCATTATCAATCAAATGGGAGACAATACAGTCAAGAGACCAGTTTATCCCTGGGAGATAGAACCGTGCTATCTTCTTTATCTGGAGAAGTAATTTTCAAAATTTCTTCTATTATTATAATAGTTATTATTTATTTTGCAAGAAAATAGACAATGAAAAAACGTCACTCATAAGCTCTGCTAGTACTAGAATACTCAATGAAGTATAAGTATAATTATTGTCAATTAATTAATTTTTTATGTGATTATAATTTCAGTCAAAGGCAAAGGCCGTCAGTCTATGGACAGCACTGACAGTACCAGTAAGTATATAATTTTTAATTCATACCCATATATACTCACTTGCATCGTTACCTTTGCAGGGTGTGATAGAGTTCTCTGTCTCTCTTTTCTTTGCAAAACTTGTCGCTTACACTTTCTTATTTTGGTTGCCATACTATGTTGCTTTTAATCGTAAGACACGGCCATTACTGTATCATTATAGTTAATACTCATTTTTGCCAGCTATTGGTGGGCGGTATATTGGTGAACAGAAAGCCGATCTGTTAGCTACTCTTTATGATGTAGGAGGAATAATTGGTCAGTATGATTATAACTACAATTATAATACTCATTTCCCTGTCTTGTTTATAGGAGGTATAACTACTGGTGCTCTTTCTGATGTCATCAATGCAAGAGCTATATCATGTGTCATAATGATGTACCTTGCTGTACCAACTGTAAGATGATTAGCTGAATTCCATTAATATTATTATATCTTTGCTAGTTGTTTATGTATCGTTTTGTTGGCAATGAATCAGTTGGATCTTCTATTGGTTAGTAATTATTAATGAAAAATGGACTGACCTTTTTGTATAGTTTTGATCATATTTTGTGGTCTATTCATCAATGGCCCATACGCTTTGATCACAACTGCTGTATCAAATGATCTTGTATGTTATGACTAACACAGTGACTATTAGCCATTGTGTGTATGTTGATATAGGGCACACACGAATCACTGAGAGAGAACCAGAAAGCTAAAGCAACAGTTGGTGCCATCATTGATGGTATGGGATCACTAGGAGCTGCTTTTGGACCACTAGTAACTGGATTTGTATCTGATTACTTTGTATGTTAAAGTTGCCGTTATGTTTAGAATTACATTCTAAAATATTGTTCCTTTGTATAGGGCTGGAACAGTGCATTTTATGTACTGATGTTCTCTTGTTTCATTTCATCATTGGTAAGTGATCATAGCAATGGCTGCTATTAAACTTATAACTGTGCCTGTTAGATGCTAACAAGACTGGTGATAAGGGAGATGCAGCATTTTTGCAGAAAGTTAAATCCAAGCGGGAAAGATTAAAGTGGTAATGCAAATCCCTTATATTTGTAATAACAATAATAATACCTTATTATTATATAACAGACAGACATGTCTACAGTGATGCCAACAATGATCCGAGAGCATTCTTAAATCATGCTCAACACGAGATTTATTGTCATTTTCATTTTTTTATTTTTATTCACAATCATGAATTCCTTATTAATATTCATTGCAACAAATAATTATTGTTTATTGTCATATCTTAATTAATGGCAGCTAATCAGCTTCCTTCCTCTCCTCCCGATGTAAAGTTTTGTTGTCAAAGGCCAATGGAGGCTCAAACTAAACTTGTAAAAAGAAAACTGCCTCTGGGGGGATGGCTACTAAGCTATTTAGGTGTTTTTAGATTCAAGCCTTCGATAAGGTAAATACAATATAAACGGGCGATAGTCGCATCCTCTTCCTTTGTTCTATGTCTCCCTTCATTTCTAGTTATAGAGCTTACATTTTGATATTAACGTTTCTCTGTTATACGTCCTATCATATGTCAAGAAAACCATTTAGTGTTGTAGCGGTAAGACACTGAGAGAGAGAGGGAGAAAGTGTCAGTAAATTTAATGTGTACATCTTTTACACCTCATGCATGACCTCCACATCTAGTACTAACAAAGATTTTTTCAATACATTGTATTATGGTCTTAAGTCTGTCGATTGACAATCGTTCACGCATACACTACTAGTGTTCATCATTATACTACAATATAGAGCTACACAGTTTATGTTTTAGTTTGAATTATGACTTTGGCCACTGCCAGTACTATCAAACACTACGAAATTTGGCACAATTATCATCAACCTTTCCTTCTCTCTTTATTGCACATCAGAATGTCTTAGCTCCAGATTGCAATAAGCTTCCCAATGCTTCATGTGGTGGAGAAGGTGATTCTAATCTCGATCTTAGAGAAGTCAATCCATATGATTATGTTGATGGATGGCCTCCATTTAGTATGTCAATAATCTTATTACGTTATTTTGTTGTAAACAAGAGATTGTAAGTATTATTTAATAATGTGTTCCTCTCTCTCTCAGATACTTCACATTGCAAGACTATAATAGGAGCTATTGATTATTCCTGGCTGTTTACTTATGCTGTCTTTTTGGTGCTGAGGTGAGAGAGACAGAGAGAAGAAGAGAGATGTATGGAAAGGGAGTGGTGCTATCAGGGTGTAAAATGAGATCAATTTTCTGATGATTATAAATGTTCTTATGTGTAAGTTTGATCAAAATTGGATTTTAAAAAAATTGGCCAATGACCATGGGAATATTTCGTCAAGAATGACTATGAGAGAATTCTTCATTTTTATAATTTTTTCTGATACATATACATGTTCTTATGTTGTTTATCAAGTTTGAGCTGATTCCAATCAAATTTGGGTTTTTTATGGATTTTAAAAGTTGCTCAAAAATCGAACCAAAGTCCCTGTACTATAGTACAGGGACTTTGACCAAATTTCGTCAAAAATGACTAGGAGAGAATTCTTCATTTTAATAATTTTTTCTAATACATATACATGTTTTAATGTTGTTTATCAAGTTTAAGCTGATTCCAATCAAATTTGGGTTTTTTATGGATTTATAAAGTTGCTCAAAAATCAAGTCAAAGTCCCTATACTATAGTACAGGGATTTTGACCAAATTTCGTCAAAAATGACTAGGAAACAATTTTCCTTTTTAAATTTTTTTTCTGATACATATACATGTTTTTATGTTGTTTATCAAGTTTAAGCTGATTCTAATCAGATTTAGATTTTTTATGAATTTTAAAAGTTTCTAAAAAATTGGGCCAAAGTCCTTGTACTGTAGTATAGGGCACTTCATCAAAAGTGGTCCAGACAGAACTCTCCATTAATAAAACCAATGAAAAAGACAAATTGGATAACAAACTACTAAATGATTGTTAAGTGCTCAATATTTGAAGAATGAAGTGCACATTTGTGCTCAATAGAAGCCATGAAATAAAATATTGGTTGGTAGGAGGTCTTATTTTTTCTTAACTCGATAAAGTATATATTATCTTTTATTTTTTATGTTACAGTGGACTCATAGCCGATCGTGTCAATCTTAGATATTTCCTAACAGTTGGAATGATAGGTATATTAATTATTATTATTATCTATCACATGAGTTGTACCCTCCTCTCTCTGTGTTCGTAGGTAGTGGGATCTTTGTCTCACTGTTGGGTGTGGCTTATTATGCCAACGTACATCATCTTGCTTATTTTATTTTTGTACAAATTTTTGTGGGAATTTTTGAGGTAACAATAATGATAAAATTAAATATAATCTATCACCTAACATTCTCCTTCCATGCAGTCTACAGGTTGGCCTGGTGTAGTAGCAGTAATGGGTAACTGGTTTGGTAAGAAGAACCGTGGTTTATTAATGGGTGTATGGAACTCTCACACATCAGTTGGTAATATACTGGGAACTGCAGTTCCTTCAATATGGGCTAGGAAAGGAAAGCCATGGTTAGCCTTTTAATTACAATATTATTTTTCTGTCATTATATTTATAAAGTCTTGTGTCTCTTTTTGTAGGGGATGGTCATTTTTAGTGCCTGGTTTAGTGATGATTGTGATGGGAATTGTAATATTCTTATTTTTAATAGTTGGTATGCATGTCATGCATGCTCCTACACATACGTCTAATTATTACATTGTTGCTGTTCATTTTTTGCAGTCCATGTAACTATGTTTGCATATTGTATTACATGTAGCATTTACACTGTAAATGTGTTTTTATTTATTTTTTTCAGATCCTGCTCATGTTGGTTTGCCACCTCCTAAACATCATTTGGTAAGACACTCTCTTTCTCTCTCTCTCTCTCTCTCTCTCTCTCTCTCTCTCTCTCTTTATCTATCTTTTTCTTTTATGATAAATATTTTTCTAGGAGTCTGCTTCTCGTGAGGAGGAAGACAGAGGAGGAGGGGGAGAGGGAGAAGAAAGGTATAATTCTAATGGCATTGAGTCACTTGAGATGAAGGACAGAACACACACGGTACATTCATTAATTTGTTTGTAATTTTATACTTGGTATTACATTTTTGTTGAACCATCTCATCCTTTCTCTCTCCTTCCTCCCCCCTCTCACTCTCTCTCTCCCTCTCCCCCCTCTCTCTCCCCCCTCTCTCTCTCCCCCTTCTATCTCTCCCCCCTCTCTCTCCCTCCCTCCCTCTCCCTCTCTCTTTAGGCTAAGAAAGATGGTAAGAGTGAAGATGAAGGTGATGATGCTACTACCGACAATGAAGCTAATGGTAACAATGAAACGTCTGATTTGATTAGTCGTAGCCATGAAAAGAAGCAATCATTAAAAGTTAGATTGATACTATATATCATATCCTTTTATTCTTTTCTTTCTCTCATTTTCTATTCCCAGAGTTTCTTTAATCGCAAAGGAAACGCCATTAGCTTGCTTGGGGCTCTAAAAATACCAGTAATTATTATTATTATTATTATTATTATTATTATTATTTTATTTATTTTATTATTTTTAGGGAGTGATAGAATTTGCTCTAGCCCTCTTTTTTGCGAAGCTGGTAGCCTATACATTTCTCTTTTGGCTCCCATATTACGTTGCTTTTCATCGTAAGATAAAAGTGCACTAAATACTAACATAATACTCTTTACCCTCCCTCTCTCTCACTCTCCCTATAGCTATTGATGGTAGCTGTGTAGGTAACCAGAAAGCCGATCTATTGGCTACTCTATATGATGTAGGAGGAATAATTGGTCAGTCTGATTATAATTACAATTATAATACTCATTTCCCTGTCTCATTTATAGGAGGTATAACTACTGGTGCTCTTTCTGATGTCATCAATGCAAGAGCTATATCATGTGTCATAATGATGTACCTTGCTGTACCAACTGTAAAATTAATTTTTAATAATAAACAATAATTTATATTAATTTTATAGCTTTTCCTGTATCGATATGTGAGCCATGTATCATTAGGAGCTACTATTAGTAAGTCTATAGTCACGTAACTTTAAAAGAATCTATTTATCACAATATTTACTTTATCTATTTTATACTGTAGCTTTAATACTACTGAGTGGCCTATTTATCAATGGCCCATATGCTTTGATCACAACTGCTGTATCAAATGATCTTGTATGTTATGACTAACACAGTGACTATTAGCCATTGTGTGTGTGTGTGTTGGTATAGGGCACACACGAGTCACTGAGAGAGAACCAGAAAGCTAAAGCAACAGTTGGTGCTATCATTGATGGTATGGGATCACTAGGAGCTGCTTTTGGACCACTAGTAACTGGATTTGTATCTGATTACTTTGTATGTTGTTGTTTCGTTGTTTATTATAAATATATATATATATATTTTGTGTTGATAGGGATGGGACAGTGCGTTTATCGTATTAATGGTAGCTTGCTTCTTGTCATCATTGGTAAGTTAATCTTCAATTAGTAATTGATATTCATTTAAATGCATTTGACTTCTACCATGCATACTATTTAGATGCTCTCCAGATTACTATCGAAAGAAATTGCATCCCTCTACCGTTCAGCAAAAAGTTTTATCCAGAAAAAATTTTATCACAGGTATTCTTTAATGTGTGGATATTATTATATTGATGATATTATTTTTAGGCATACTCTTAATTAAAATATTATGAGCCATCACGTGCAGTCATGCTGTAATTCTTTTTCTTATCTCCTTTGATGCTTCATGTATTTTGATGTAACTATGATAAATTATGATTGTCATTTTAAGAGTTATTATTTATTTGTCATTCCTCCGCATTAGTTTATGATATCCTTTTACTTTGTACAGTAATAATTACACTGGAATTTGTCAGTTATCAAAGTCTCGCTGAAAACATTTTAAGTGCTTGCACTAAATTTCATATTTGCCTTGATATTAAAATGCGTATTTTGTGTCATTTGATTGAAAGTAATATTGGCATAATTGAAGTGTTTTAGGAGTTGTTGATGCATATAGTATAGACTTTTTAAATGGATATTTCTTCACCTAATCTGATAGCTGTTCTTATTTTACAATATCTTGTCAGCAATACCTTCATCCCACACTCATTTGATCCTGGACTTATGCTTTCATCACGATCCACTTGTAACGCTAGATAATAACAAATAACAAATTAGTTCAGTGTTTGTGTCCATAATGATGCATGCCAGTGGTTGGCTCAAATAGCAAGCCCTAATCTTTTATATGACAACACTTTCCTTATTCACTCTCAGTTTACTCTCCTCTTCAGTCCCTAATACTCCTCTCTATCTGCTGCTCTAGCTTCTTCTCTCATTGAGTCAATGGGTAACCATTCTTCTAATCTTCTCCGTGATGCTGTCTTTGGCTCAAGCCTCTCTCCTACCTCATCATCTCGGGATGAGAGGATACAAGTAAGTGAACCAAGCTCTCCGCCATATTGCTGGACTTGTCAGCTACTCATTGAGAGCAAGAGGGGGAACAAGTACACAGCTAATGGAGTCAAAATAAACATCACCCCCTCCACCGGGTCCCAGGTTATACTAACCAGTGGCCACTCTATTTTTACCGATGGGGCCTACGCTAAAAAGATAACGGTTCGCTTTCCGGCCTCAAATCACAAAGAGACTTTTGTAGTGTCCGAGAAACAGATGTGGGCATCGCCTCAGTACATAAAAACAAGTCGACCAATGTATGATTATGGGTTTATCCTCCTCCCTGGCGAGAGCAATGAAGGATTCGGCTGGACTACACTTCTAAGCAATGAAGAAATGATGGGACGGCCACTGACCACTTGTGGATACCCAGCTGATGATCCGAACTCAAACCTATGGATCACTGGAGGCGGAGTGGAGAAAATATCCCAAGAGCACATTCATTACATGCAGGACTCTCTGGGGACCGGGAGTGGGAGCCCAGTCTACACTTGGTACAAAGGCTACTGGACTATTGTGGGCATACAGTGCTTTGGTGGCGTGTTCAATACTGCAGTGAGACTCAATTCTGAGATGATGCACGAAATAATGAGAGAGTTAAAACACACGACTAGTTATACCATACAGCCACAGACACTCACAGATCTCTACCTCACCAAAACAACCAATTCCTCAGATGAATCTACCAGTAGTCCACAAAGCAGCCTGCAGGCTACTGGTGGTGTATTGTGCAAGACCACTGGAGAGCCATTTGATATATTCCCACTCCAGATACAACAAGGCACTAATGCTGACACTATAAAGAGAGATCCTGTTATAGTCAAAGGTCTTAGCCTCTATACTGATGCATCCTTTGAAGACAGCAATAATAGATCCACTTCTTCTGCTCCTCTTCCTGTCTTTAGCGTTAAGAATGAGTTCACTGATCCAGTGGTTGGCAACTTGCACAATTATTATTTCATTCACACTCACAAGGACGAAGGGAATGGGGAGACCGTTTCGTTTGAGTCAGTGACAGCCGAAGGGATATATCTATCAACGGATAAATCAGGATTCATCAAGCACATTAATATACACAGAGATAGCAAGCCTGGGCCGTACGAGAGGTTCTTTCTCCAATCCGTTAAACTTCAAAAATAACTAACATAGCTCGGCATGCATGAAACTTGAGAATTTTAATTTATTAATTTACCGGTATTTGCTTTATTATTTTTATTGTAAAATGTCTTTACTAAATATTAACAGACTCTGATTGCATCCGAAAAGCCGATTAGAAAAATGTCTTTGATTAGAATAAATTGGTTGACATTATGTTACATGCAACTATTGTAAGGATATGAACAATATTATACTAATTCTGCTAGACTGCACAGAATAAACCTATGTTTTCTTAGCAGGGCACTTTTATTTACTCTTGGCACAGGGTCTTTGGCAAAAATTCACAAAAATTCAATTTCGATTGAACTTTTTACACATGCATAATATGGCATCATTCTAAGTGCCTTTTAGTCAGAAAAGATGTGCACTTCATTTTTCAATTATTATAATTATTTTAATAGATTATTAAGCACATGGAAATGTACATCTTTGATTGTCTCCTTCAGCTGTTTTCATAAAAAATTTTCTTTGAGCCATTTTTGATGAAATAGCCTGTACAGGAACTTTGGCCCAATTTCGGAGCTTTAAAAATTTGTAAAAAATTCAATTTTGATCAGAATCCGCTCAAACTTTCTATACAACATAAAAACATGTATATGTATCAGAAAAAATTATAAAAGTGAAGAATTCTCTCCTTTTCATTTTTGGCAAAATTTGGCCAGAGATCGTGTACTATAGTACATGGACTTTTAGCCGATTTTGGAGCAACTTTAAAAATTCGTAAAAAATCCAATTTTGATCGGAATCTGCTCAAACTTTCTATACAACATAAGAACATGTATATGTATCAAAAAAAATTATAAAAGTGAAGAATTTTCTCTCTTTCATTTTTGGCAAAATTTGGGCGGAGACCGTGTACTATAGTACAGGGACTTTTAGCTGATTTTGGAGCAACTTTAAAAAATTCGTAAAAAATCCAATTTTGATTATACAACATAAGAACATGTATATGTATCAAAAAATTATAAAAGTGAAAAATTCTCTCCCTTTCATTTTTGGCAAAATTTGGCCCGAGACCGTGTACTATTATAGTACAGGGACTTTTAGCCGATTTTGGAGCAACTTTAAAAATTCGTAAAAAATCCAATTTTGATTGGAATCCACTCAAACTTTCTATACAACATAAGAACATGTATATGTATCAGAAAAAATTATAAAAGTGAAGAAACCTCTCCTTTTCATTTTTGGCAAAATTTGGCCGGAGACCGTGTACTATAGTACAGGGGCTTTAGTCCAATTTTTGAGCAACTTCAAAAATTCATAAAAAATCAATTTTGCTTGAAACTAGCTCAAAATTTTCACACAATAAAAAAATATGTATATGTATCAAAAAAATAAATAAAAATGAAGAATTTTCTCATTTTCAATTTTGGCAAAATTTGACCAGTGACTGTGTTTTATACTAGCTAGCCATAATGGTATAGGAAAATTTGTCCACTTTTCGAGCAACTTTAAAAATACACAAAAAATCCAATTTTGATCAGAGCCAGCTCAAACTTTTTACACATTATATGTACATGTATATTTATCATGATGCAAAGCTTGGATTTTAAAAATTCCGTTTAATGAAAGACAATGGACCATTTAAAATTGAAATTTTTTTAATAATAATTAAGATACAATCACTAAAACATTGAACAAGACAATAGCAACTCACTGAAAGCAAATACACACACAAAACTGAGTTGAAAGAAATAGCAATAATAATAATAATAATAATATTAATATATAATATATTCATAATAGTGTGGAAATGTTATAATATAATAAGAACAACAACAGTAATAACAATAATGGTAATAATAATGATAATAAAGATAATAATAATAATAATAATAATAATAATAATAATATAGACTAATAGCAAGGTTTGGGTCAAAGTGTATAATAATAAATTGATGGAGAGAAAATGTGTGATAAATTTATAATAGGACAGTTGATAAAATTCAAAGTAAAAAGGACCACACGTTTGCACACACACACACACACACAATTACAAAACAGAAACAATAATGAGAGAACAAAATTTGAATAAGTTCTATTGCCAGTATAATAATTGTAACAATTATAAAACAGCAACTTAAAAAAGTGAAAAAATATATGTAGATATGCATGTGACTATTATGCAATTGGGAGATTTCCTAATATATTAATAATTATAATAATAATAATGCTATTGTTTTACTGAGAGTCAGTGAAAGCTTGAGAGCAAATCCTAGTTGTCCATTTCTTTCTTTATTTTCTCTTTATGAAACGGCAACCGCCTTTCTTGGTCTGACAATTAACACACCAGCTTGATTTTTCTGCTGGAAACCTCTTACGACAGCTATAGAAAGAAAGACATAATGATCATTGTACATAATGAGGAATGGTTAGCTGAGTGCTAAAGTTATTTTATACTCTTTATCACAGCTATAGAGAGAGAGGAAGAGGAGGAAGGGCTCATCTAATCTTTCTATGTAAACTAGTTTGTATGCCAATCCTCTTGATGACTCTGATTTAATGCAGCAGACAGATAACTAGCTTGCAACTCTGACCACAATCTTTTTACAGACTAGGCATTATTGCCACTAGCAGCAATAGGCTTGTATAGATTGAAAATGATTTGACTAATAAGCAAGTGATGAGGGCAGAGGTCAAAAGGGAGAGAGAGAGAGGAAGCTGAAACTGCATTTATTTTGATTGGTAGATAAAATCATTCTACCAGGAATTCCTATTTCTTTGCATGTAGTCATGCCTTAGATGTGTGTAGCTGGTGAAGCTCTAGAGTATTGCATGCAGGGAGACCATGTAGCCACAAGATGTCAATGCATTTTTAGCAAAACCACCCTCCTTACCTCTTTGTAAAGAACTGGTGCTCCTCCTGTCTCTCTTCCTTTATGACTGGCTGTATATCATCAGGGAGTGTAGGAGGTGGGGACACTCTGTACTCCTCTTCTTTAATGGGAGCCACTGGTGGTGGCAAGGAACTGGGAACTTCCTCCTCAGCCTCAAAGTCTCCCTGACTCTCTATGTGCTTGGTTGGTGTGGTAGCAGATATGCCAAGATTGGGACTGGTTGGGTCAACCTGCTGGAGTGCAGGCCCACCAAGGACTGGTGATGAGGAAGAAGAGTTTGAAATGAGAGCAGGTGGAGGCATTGAGACAGGAGTGGGGGCTGGTTTGGCACTAAAGGCACTCACTGGAGATGAAGAAGAGAGAGACCCATTGCTGTTATAATGCTGATGCTGCTGATAGTTGTTTCTTGCTATTGGGCTCTGTGGATATGCCCTATACTGCTGCTGCTGCTGCATGGCTGGCCCCTGATGCTGTATGTACTGCTGGAATGGGCCGGTTGCGGCATAGGGTGAGCGAGCATATGCATGACCTGGCGAAAACATTGACTGGTGATGGGACATGACGTAGGGTTGATGCTGATGAAATGAGGCAGTGGAAGAAGAGGAGTGATGGTGAGGATGATGATGATGCATCCCATTAGTATAAGAACTGTTAAAAGGAAATGCTGTGTTGATGCTATTAGTGAGAGGAGATGAATGAATCATGCTGCCAGCACTGCCCACTGGGCTACCCATTTGAGACGTACCATACATCAGAGAGCCGTTCATGTTCCCGGGGGCGTGGCTAAGGGGTATCATACCTTTACCGGACATTGTGGGCGTGTTTGGCGAACTAGAGGGACTGTTACCAGCTGAATTAGAGTATGCAGGGATCCTGTTAGGGCCGAGATGATCGCTGATTGGAGGAGGAAGGGGAGATGACTTCTTGTGAAGGTCCTGCATGTCAGGAACTGAGACTTGCCCGCCCTCGTAGCTCTGGAAAGTTTTGCTCATTTCTTCTCCGGCCGCTTTCTCTATGGGAGGACTAAGAGAGCCAACGCTTGATACTGAAGATTGGTAATTGAGGACTATGCCACTGTCTGGGGTAACACGCTGGAGAGAGCTCTCACTTAGTTTTGCTGTTTTCTTGATGCCCTCATCAGTTGAGAAATCAAAGCTGGCCATTTCATTCTCATAGCATTCTACATCATTTTCACCAGCTGTGCTCCCATTATTAGTAGTCAGAGGAGGTGGTATCTGTGATTAGAGAGAGAAAGAGAGGAGGGAGAGAGAGAGAGAGAGAGAGATAGTAAAAAACATATAAATGATGAGGTTTGGTTCATGAAGACGGTAAAGGTAACTTTAATTGAATTAATTGTGGTTTTGGTCATAACCACCGAGATATTAAGTGGCTGATGGTAACCTCAGATAACTCTTATGTAAACTGCAACCTGCCCTGACCGGTTATGTCAGCAGCCACAATGCACGTATAAACACGCACAACAATACAATATACTGAAGCGGTAATATAAATGCATACAAATACATACAGGCAATGTATAAGGCTCTACATGGAGAGGTCATATTATGAGTAAACAGGCTTCATTATTATAAGATATGCATAAAAGTAACGACTGTCACAACTGAAAGCTGCTACTAATAGTAACATTGTAGTAAAGGGGGGAACTCACCGCTTGTCCGTTGCTCTCCATTTTATTTGAAGATAAGGAAGGAGTGAGACTCATTGGGTCGATGCCATTAGACCAGGAGGAGGCCGGGAGTTGGAAGAGAGAGGACGAGTTTTGATGATGTAGAAAGTGTGAAGGATGCTGTGCCTGTGGATAAGCAGGTCCAATGTGCCCGGGATAAGGGAAACGAGGAGTCTGTATCATACCAGGTGGATAGTGATTACTGATGCCGGTCTTTTGAATGGGGCGGGGATAGTGTTGCGTCATTAGAATCTCTGATATATCCGAAGGGCTACCCCGACTAGCATAGAAGACATCATTATTGGGTGAGATGAGGTTAGGAGATTGGATTGGAGAGAAACTGTTGCTGTTTTTAGACCCACTTAGTCTGAATAAGCCATATATGGCCTGCTGCTCTGCATCACTGAACTCATCAAGGACGTTTGGTTTTCCATTCTCGCCGGCTCCACTTTCATTGTTAGCATCAGAAGAACTAGACCCACTGCTTCCTCCATTCCCGTTTGACATGTTACCGTTTAGCACGTCACCTTGAGAATGAGCTCGCCTCTTCTTAGCATCGCTTCCTTCACCGTTCCTCTCTCCTTGTTGCTCCATTGCAGTTGAAAGACTTCTCTTCATTGAGGACTGGACCCGACGAGTAGTCATGGTAACCGGGGGCGGAGTTGGAGAGTTCAAATGCTTTGAACAGAGACCACATTTCTGCGACTCTTTCCAGCAGTCGTCCACTCCACAGAGCCTACGCCATTGCTTCCCGTTAAACTTCTTCTTGATTCCTTCGGGGGTAATAATGATCTCTCCTTTCTTGACTCCCTTGATGTCTTTGAGTTTAACACGAGAGCCCCGGATATTAGTCGAGTATTGAAAGTCCTGAGTTTGAATGAGAGGAGGAGGGAGGACCCCATTAGACACCGAGTGAGGAATGGCAGCAGCTCCTGCTGGAGGATGCGGCGGAAGGAAGAAGTTCCCTTGATTCGGAAGGGAAGGAGGAGGAGGAGGAGGGAGAGGAGGAGGAGGAGTGGTTGACATCTGACCGGATGGTGTTTCCATATATGGAAGTGCACCGAGCGTCTGCGTGGGACCGTATGTGGGGGAGCTACCACGAGCAATCGAAGACTTGTCTTCTACCGGTTTGGCTTGCTGGTATGGTAAAGAACCTAATGCAGCATCTACTGCAGACATGATGAGAGAGAGAGAGAGAGTTGAGAGCTCAAGTGAAAAGAAACTAGATTGCACAGTGCAGTGATGGATAACCTATTATGGAAAGATAAAAAGAATGTTAATAAGCTGTAGAATTTTACACTACATCTACAAAACAATAAGAATATAATAATATACGCTGGACGAGATAAACAGCAAAATGTTTCAATATATATATACATGTAGATAGCATGTCCTAGTACAGGTGATTATTGTTAGCCTTTTCTCATCAGAGTACATGCTAATCAAATTATGAACAATAACAGATGTTCAATGACACACACAGACAGGAATATGTGCATGACTGGGCGAGAGAGAAACAGGCGGCATAGAGTACATGACTACTCCCACATATCCCGCAACTACGCCTCAGATGAAATGGCTCCCCACCATACATAGTGAGACAGTGGTATCATTAAAAGGAAATGCAAAAGATAAAAGCGTACATGACTGCATGCATATAAAAGAGCAAACGGTTAAGAATAAGTACATACACACACACACATACACCATTCATGTATACTAATACTTCCTTGTTTGGCTATGTCAGAGTGCATTTCAAATATGGAATTGTTCCTTGCATGTAGTTAATAATACAATAGTAGCTGTACTAATGGAGTATTTGGGAAAGACAGCAAGCAGTGAATGG